GAAATCTGTGCACTCTTCCACACACTAAAAAAAAAAAAAAAAGACACTGTTTTAGATTTTTGGTGAAAGTTCTCTGTAGGAATTTAACAGGTAACATGCTGTATATGATTTAATGACAGCACACACCTGTTTTGCAAATATCAGAAAACAACACAGAATACTAAAATCATGTGTAAGTATTGGTAAAGGGGCCAATCAGTCTTTATCCAATCAGGATAAGTGTGTTCACAAGGGATTTAAATTCAGTTCTGTGTAATACTCCTAGACAGCCACGTGTTGGTATAATGAAAAAACAGTTGCAAATATTACTCCGCTAATCCCTCTAAATCCCTCTTTCCTCTAGACTGTAGGCTTTGTGTTTTCTTCCCTTTTTAATAAGTTGTATCGCTCTCCAGAAAATAGAGCTTAAGTTAAAAATGTCTTTAACTCCAGATATTAAAGTCTGTACCAAGCACGTCAATTAATTTCCTTTTAAAATAAAATACTATCAGAGAGAAACTGACAGGTTTTTGAGATGAGAAATACTTAAGCTGGTGGAGGGTACACTTTTATACATCAGTTCTCAGCAGCTTTGAATTGAATATATTTGTACAGAATGTTAGACACATCTTTTATGAAAACAACTGAAAGCAGCAGTCAGTGTGTGACAGAATGTACTGCACTGAGTATAGTTTGCAAGCACAAAACCTTGTATTTACAGTCACATTTAAGGTCATCTAGACTGAGCCCTATAAGACTATCTTTATTTACTGACCAAAACTGTAGAAACCGCTCTAATTCATCCAGAATTAGTTGTGTGTCTCTTTCTAAGTTGTCTCACATTATGGACACTGGAGAGTAGAGTGGGCATCTGCAGGTCAAGAATTAAGGAACAGAATCTTGTATCATCATGGCAAGAAGGTGTCCTGTGCCCAGGGTGTGCAAAAACAAGCTCCTAAATAAAAAGGGAGGCTGAGATGCTAGCTGTAGAGTACAGTTGATACCATACCAGGTCCTTAAGCCAAACAGACTCAAGATGGACTGCTATTGAGTCTGAAAGCAGGCATTCTCAATGTGGACAACTGGAAAGTTTATGCCTGAAAAAGGACCTCTTAGTTGATGCTGTCGATATAGATCTTGCCTTAGAGGGCAAGCAGAGTTTTGTATTGAACTAAACTTTGTAGGATCTCAAAGCCTGGAGTCATGAGATGTTTTCCACTTTATGCCCTTGCATACCGTGTTCCATAGGATATAGAAAAGCAGCTTTGCTAAAGCTGGTCTCCTTTATGTGCGTTGCACTTAAAGAGCACTGAGAGGTTCCACAAAAAGATAGCATAGTATGAAGTACAGGCAGTCTTCATTTACACTGTTTATTGATGACTCTATGCCAAACATAATAATGGTATTCTCTCTCATCAGACAGTTTCTGATCATTTTCCCATACACTCAGAGACTGCACTGAAAAATCTGGTATCTGATTAGAGAGTGACCTGAGCAGGTTTTTCGAAAGAACTGTTCTTGTTTTTAAAATATTCACTATTATCTTTACTTAGCAGACCTGTAGAATCAAGGCTCCATTACTCAACACACTATGTGAATACAGAGCTTGAATAAATTATAGTCTGTCTCAATTTGCAAATTAAACGATGCAATTCTGATGCAGGTCTTCGGTCTGCTCATTGGGCATACTAATTTTAATTTCTAATATCATGGAATGTCCCAAAAGTAGAATTGTGTTTGACACAACTCTTCCCTTTCCTGTAGATTG